CATCTAAACCAAGGCTATTTCCATTGGGCGGTCAGTTAATGTATGCAGAGAAATTAGGATTATGAATAAAGGGGATACCAAAGTAGAACATGTTCACCTTCAAATTTTAGTCTAAAAATGTAACAGATTTATTTTGTGTGAACATAAGGGACATTTTTAAGCCTTTTTAAAAACATATAATGTTGGACAAAGAGGAAAAATAGGTTCAAACTATTTAAGGTAAAGTAGCTGAACGGTTAGCTAAGCTAAATGTTTTTTATGAAACAAAACATGTAAGGTAGCTACTATAATAACAGCCAAGACACAGTAAAACTAGCTAGTTATGGGATAGATTATAGAATAGAATTGAATAGAGTTGACATTTCGACAGGGACAATGCAACAGTTCCAATACAAAGAAAGCCACCTCATCTGTTGTTGCCTGAAATTCCAATGGGGTTGCCTGAAATGTCTAAAAATTGATTATAAAATACTGATACAATTATTATTTTCAACTAAATTATTATTATTAAATGATTAAAACACCACACATAATCTTAAACAACTGTATTGTTTTGTTTTGCAAAATGCAGTGTAGATAAAATATCTGAGCTGGTGCATCTTGAAGCTTGATTATTGGTTACTATCACATGACTGTTACTGAACCAATTCTCTATGGGGCCTCTGAGGTCACCAGAAATGTGTGATGTCAAAATGGGGTCAGAAGCCAAAAAAGGAACCACCACACTAATACAAAGCTACACTTAAATAATGAAGGCACTTTTTAATCATACAGGCAAACAGACATCACAATGCATGAGCTGCTGTATCAGAGACAATATTTCAATCCGCCAGTATGACAGAGTCACAATTAGCTAAATCTTCACTTTAAAAATGGTCTTACATTTTAATTTCTTTTTAATGTAACTTGATCATAAAGACAAACACTTGCACTAGGTACAGTGCACATGAATGCAGTACTTTGTATCGCAGGTTTTAGTGTAAAAAGGTAGTATCGCCCCCATTTGGAGAGGTCTTGTCAGTGCTGCTGTAAAATGCCTGGTTTGTTTCTGTTCAGACTGACTGACTGGTTGACCCGTGCTTGCCCTGGGGTAGGCTGCTCATGTGTCACTCCTGGGTCTTGGTGGTCTTTGGGGTTAATGGCCCTGTTGCCTTTGGGTTATTTTTGTCTGCTCCACCCTGTTTGTGATCACACTGGGTCTCTGTGCCAAAACTTCTGCCACACCTGCAGGGCTGGTTTGAAAGAAATGTAGGGTGTGTTTGTGTCCTGTCACTGCCCAGCCCTTACCTCACCCATACCTCACCCACCCTCCTTAGCAGAGCTGGTCTATCACCGTTAAACACAGACATCTTCAGTTGCTTCAGTTATTATTACATCCTCACTTTTGTCGTCAGCATTTCTGAATTACCTGTTTTTTAACATTTGAAGAGTACCTTTTGTTGGTTGGGTGGAATATTTCCTCACGACAGCACTAAAAGTAAAGTATAGAGGCGATTGAGTCACAGAGGCATTTGTATTTGGCTCGTGCGCCTTTAGCGTCTCCATACGAGCACTTTCTCCAAAAGCACTGACTTAACAATAATCTCTCTGACATTATTCCTAATATTAGAAGAATGAGAGACAGAAGAGGGTGACATTATCCCGGCTTTTTCACCACCAAGCCCAATTTTCTTCTCAGGTTCTAATGTTTTGTTGCCAGAAGATTCTGTTTCTTGTTCAAAGGTTCACAGAAGGAATGTAATTTTTATCCAAAAATGTCAACACCAAGTAAAACTGTTATTGTTTAATATAGTTTTATATATAGTTTTATAGTTTTTTTTCTATTTCCACAAACCAAATCTCAATGAATTTTACAGGAGACCTTTGAAACCATTGAGTGTCCCCCAAACTCACATCAAATCTTCAAGGCTGTTGACTCTGGTTATTTTGTCAGGAATTACCCAGTGTAATGTTTTCTGGATGGTCAGCTGCTAAAACAGTGGAAAACCCCCCAAAAACCTTCAGCCTGCTTCACTTGCACTACCACAGAGGTATAAAGGATCTGCGAGAAAGACCTTCATAGAAGGTTGTGTATTGGAGAGTCTCTAGAAACTCCCACTGAATCTGCATATCCAATTTGTAGTTACTTTGTTGCTGTGTCTCTTGCCTGAGAGCTGGGATTGGCTCCACCGCCACCCCCACCAAGCATTCTACCTGTTAAGGTTGCTTGCTAACAGCTAAACACCATCTTGGCTTATTGAACAGTGAATCCTAAATTGCAGCAGTCACTAAATTAGTGTACTCAAATGGATTTTAACACAAAGGTTACAAGTTATACCTGCAGTTTTCAAAAGTATTCTAATTGGATGAATTGTTCCAGCTTTAGTTTTTTTTCCCTAGATATTTGGTCTCTGCCAGTTGGTGTTAAAGTATCCCCAAGATGGATTAATTTGGTCTAGGAATGGATTTATTGACGCTGATTAAACTGACTTGGGTCCCGGGCTGTAGATTAAAAATACCAAGTCTTGGCAGCAACAGTGAGTTTTCATTGCAAAGACAAACAAATTCAGTGGAACAATCAAAACCAAAGAGAGAGAGAGAGAAAAAATCACTTTTTGTTTTGAAATGTTCATTTGTTCAGCTAATTGGTTGGGATTAATTATACACTGAGCCAGTTAAACAAACACAGTTCCATTTGTTTTCAGTCACTTTTGTTTATCCTGCACCAAATCATACATTTGCCTCGAGCTCTGCAACCCATAATACAATCAACACCTTAAATGGTTGAATAATCAACTGGATTGAGGAGAAATATCACAAAACATCAAGCTGCTGGTCTCCTCTTCACTCCTGCTCTCCTGCGGATTCCTTTTTTCCTCTGCATTCAAACTTCTCTGTATCTT